TTATTTTAATATAATTAAATTTTTTATTAGGTTCTTCTTGATATTGATAGACATTTTAGGTTACAAAATAAAAGGATTCTGCTTTTAATTGATAATGCTCCATCCCATTTTGATCCGAATTATCATCCACCAGAGGATGAAATGGAAGATCTAGAATCTACCAGTACTGGAACATCATGTAATAGATAATAAATTTATTTTAATTTCGTATTATTTAATTTTACTTGATTTTACATTGTTAAAATTTATTTTTTAGAAAATCAAGGCCGCAGAAGGAGACGTCAACCTAATATTTCGCGCCTTCAACTAACTCATGTTGAAGTGGCTTTTTTGCCGCCAAATACTACCAGCCATCTTCAACCACTTGATGCTGGGATTATTGCAAGTTTTAAAAATCATTATAAGCGAAATTATTGCCGCCACATGTTAGAATTATTTGAAAAAGATATTAATAAAGAAAAAATTAATATTAAAGAATCTATTGATTATTTGACAGATGCATGGGAAAATGTTACTGAAGAAACAATTCATAATTGCTGGATAAAGACTGGAATATTACCTTCTTCAACTAATGAAGATATAACAGATGCGACACAAGCTCAAAGAGAAAAAATAGATGACGAAGTGGCTAATATTAATCAAATAATCAGAGAGCTTGGTGCAACAGAAGATCCTCGTGGTGCTGTATTAGCAGATGCAATTAATGATTATTTTCTTGATTTAGAAAAAGAAATCCCAACTGAAGACGTTTTAGATGATAATGATATTGTAAGATTAATCCAAGAAGAGATGTGTGATGGTGAAATTAACGAAATTGATTCTGAAAAAGAGGAAATTCAAGTATCTTTAGATAATGCGCTTAAATCTATACAAACTTGGATAAGTTTTTTCGAACAACAACAGTCTGATGAGTTTAATATAGATGATCTATACATTTTTAAAAAATATTTTAAAATTACTAAACGACTTGAGTTTCAATCTAAAAAGCAAATTCAAATAACACAATTTTTTTAGCAGATTAGTGACGAACTAGTAATCCAATAATAAATAGTTTTATAATATAATATATAATATAATAAAGTCTTTTATTTGTTTAACGCAATTAAAATTATAATATGTATTTATGTAACATAATTTTGTTGAATTCGTATCTATTTTAATTTACTTCTATAAAGTCACCTTAATTAATTTTTAATATTTGTGGTGAATATATAGAAGTCTTACTCTATGTAATCACGATTCTATATAATCACCAATTTGGATGTAATGGACTTAGTGATTACATAGAAGTCCGACTGTATAACTAATTTACACTCAGGGTGATTTTAATTATTTTCACCTAGGTGATTTAACCTGATAATTTTATATAATTTTAAAATAATTCAGGTGAAATCACCTGATTAATTTTATTGATATAGTTCGGAAGGTAATTAATTATTTAAATTTAATAATTACGGAAGGTGATAACACCTGATAAATATTACACAAATAATAGTAACAGGTAATACAAAATTGCCATTGTTTATATAATGATGTAATTCACATTTAAGCCCATTTCTTTTGAAAAAATTCTGACACGCTAACGTGTTATTTTCTAAAGAAAATTTTAATCTTTACTGTTTATAAGCACGTATCTTGTTCTGTTTTTCTAAAACATCGTTCCCTAAAGTAAATTCATATCAATTATAATAATCTATACGAAACCACAAAGCTTTAAAACTATTAATAAAACCACTTACAATGGAAAATGTTTTAGACCCAAATTTTTCCTATAGTCCCGACATGTTATTCAACTCTTATTATGATTCTTCATATAGTGGTTTAGATTTGCTTAACAGTTATCAATACGAATCTCCTGACCTACCGATATTTGAATTTTATGGTTTTCTGTATGATTCTTTTGATCTATTTCTTGAAGATCATGAATTCATGATACACTTAATGAAACCCAAATAGGAAATGTAAGAAGAATGGATGTTTCAGAAAATGAGGATATAAACAGATATGATTTTCCGGAAGATGAAAGAATAAATGGCCGGTATGATATTTCAGATGATGAAGATAGAAATCTTAATCATCAAGAACGGGAATATGATAATAGCGAGTATGAGGAAGAAGAGAATAAATTAGAATTAAATCAAGGGATGGAATTTGAAACATGGGAACTTGCCGAATCATACCTTAATGAATATGCAAAGCAACAGGGATTTTCTTTTCGTAAAAAAAGACGTATACTGGATCCAACTGACAGTACAATAACAAGACGTAGAACATATAAATGTTCACATGCCCGAACTCATGAGATCCAAAAGGTTATTTTAGAAGAAAATAGAAGGGATAGGGATTCTGAAATGATTGGATGTCTTTGGCATATTAATCTTTCTTTTCCCAAATCTGGAAATGGTGTTCGTATTAATAGTATAGTTGGGACACATAATCATGATATGAATCCTTGCATTACCGAAATAGCCCCAAAATTTCGAAAATTGACAGATAAAATGCTTGAGAAAATAAAGTTTTGGACGATTGAAGGAAGATTAGGCATACCAACTCAATATAACTTACTAGTAGCCTCATTTCCAAATAAAGTGATTAATAAGAAAGATCTAAGTAACGCTATTCAACAGTTTAAAAAACAAGTGAAACCTATTAAGAATGATGCATGTCAAATTCTTACTGAGCTATACTTAAAAAAAGATGATGATCCAAGATGGATTATAAAGTCGCGCTTTGATCATAGAGAAAGAAGACTAAACTCATTATTTTGGATGTCACCTGATCAAGTTAATGCATATGAAAGATACCATGATATTGTGATTGTTGATACAATGTCTAAAACTAATCAATTTGATATGATATTAATGCTAATCATTGTGGTTGATAATAATTTTAGAAATATAATAGTTGCTGCAGCAATTTTAAAAGATGAAACAGAAGCAACTTTCACATGGATTTTACAAGAATTAAAAAATTCTTGTGATCTTACACCAACAGTCCTATATTTTGATGCTGATCCAGCCTTAATATCAGCCATAAAGACAAATTATCCAGAAACACATCATTTCCATTGTATTTTTCATATAGATTTAAATCTAAAAAAGAATCTTAAAGGAAAATTGCGTGATCAATTTGAACTTTTTCGCGCTAAATTCTTAGAAATGCGCAATTCTTTATGTCATAAAACATTTGAAATAAAATGGAATACACTTATTGATGAATTTCCAGCTTGTGAACAATATCTTACAAGAGCTTTATATCCTTGTAAGAGTAGTTGGGCTTGTTATGCTATCAATCAGAATTTCACAGCGGGAATTCAAAGTACACAACGGGTAGAGTCTACTAATAAAATAATCAAAGATAGATTAAATAGATCTTCGTGTTTGACTGATGTTATTAAAAAAATTCAAAAAATATTTAATCAACAATCAAAAAAAGCAATATTAAACGAATATAAAAATGAAATTCCTACTAGAGGAATACCATCAATTATGGATGAATATTTTCCAGAACTTGATAAAATTTTGCGAGAATATTTAACTCCACAGATTCTTCAAAAACAACGTGATCAAATGGCCCAATCGTTATGTTATGATGTGAAATTAATTGAAGATTGGTTACCGCTCTTAGAAGTAAGTATATTGCTAATGGTTGATAAGAAAATTATTAGTACTTGTTTGAAATGATAAAGACAATTATTAAAAAAAAATACTTCCTTTTTTTTCGTCTTTTTTCATAGATGGTAGATGATTCTTATCAACAAGAAATGGCCAGAAAGGATGATTATGATCAACCTCAATCTCTATTTTCTTCATTAATCAAAAATATACCCCATAATAGTATTCGGCAAGTATGGAAAGCAACTAACCACAACATATCATTCTACTTGATGACGGGTCGCATTTATGTACCTATCTTTGGCTCATTAATAAAGGAATTGTGTGTAGGCATTTCTTTCAGGTTATGTCCTATTCAATTAATGCACAATTTCATATATCTCTTATTCCTCAACGATAGTATAATTATAACAAGTATAATATTGTTAAAATAGAAATGTGGCGCAGTAATTTTATGTAGATCAATTTTGTAGATCATTTTGTAGATCTCTTGATTTTTTCGATTTTCTTGATTTTCTTGATTTTCTTGATTTATTTGATAAATCTGATAAATCTGATAAATTTGATTTATTTGATTTATTTATTTTATTAATTTTATTTATTTTATTTGTTATATTTTATTTATTGGATATATTTATTTTATCTTATTTATTTATTTTATTTTATTTATTTATTATATTTGATTTATTTATTTTATCAAATATTCTTGATTTTTATTTTAGAAATAATTTATTTATCGCACGTGCGATGCAAATTTTTATGTTTATCATTGCCATTTTAAGGGGGTGGCGATGTATAAGCAGGTTGATCAACATAAATAATTTACAAAAAAGGAAAGTGGCGATGCATCGCACGTGCGATGAATAAATTTACTCTTTATTTTATTATAAATAGTGATAGGATTTTACCAAGTAGGAGGAGGTCAGTTAGTTAGTTAAGAATTGTATTGTAGTTTTCGAGTTATACGAAAAGAGTATTATTCCCAGTAGTATAATTCAAGATAGTTAATTTCGCAACCAAGAGATTATCTATATTTTTCGTCGTATCTAAAATCTTACATTATTTTAATAAAAACCTATTTTCTTTAACTGAACATCTAACGTTATTTCACATGATTATTTGTGATCAACTTAAGACTCTCCTATTAAGTTAAACTCCAGTTAACCTGTTAAAGCGTTAAAGTTTTTCAGTCGGCTTTAATTGTTGACAGGATAACAATATCAAACAACAACATAAAGAACTGGTATACCAAATTGAAGAAAATGAATTAGAAAAAGGTCCGCGACTATCATTTCAACATCTTGCAAATTTTAGGCAAACTCCTAATATTGTACAACCTCGAGGTCCTAAACAAAAATATGGGTTTGGTATGGGATATGCCAAAAAAGCACTTGATTTGGCTATTTGGGCTGACAAAGTCGATGAATTTGTCAATCAAATTGAATATTTTATTGAAAGTGTAAAGTCAGAACTATCTGACCACTGATCAGCAGGAAAATATGCATATTGGTAATCTGTTACGAGTAAGACATAAAGGTCGACAACCTAATAGGTATAAGTCATGTGGTGAACCTCAAAAAAAGAAAGTAAGGCGTATCCAGGATATAACTAATACTACTACTAATAAAAATCATAAAGAAGACGTTGTAGCAAGCCAAGAGGGAAAAAAGAAAGAAAGGCGTTGTAAAAATTGTAATCAAGTTGGACATTATGCTCCAAGATGTCCGAATATCTGAAAGTGTAAAAAATTTTTTTTACAACGTTTAAATGTATTAATCTACTCTAATGACTAATAAAAATATTAGTAATATAATAAATCGCATGATAGTTTAATGATTAATGGTAATACAAAATTGAAAGTCGCGCTATTTTAGATTTTTAATATAAAAAATCACATGATAAGCCAAATACCGGTGAAATCACCTGAGTGATATCACCTCGTGTGATTTTCACCTGGAGTGCAAATTAGCAAGCTTCATTTTTATAAATAATTAAAATAAAAAATTTAATTTTTATAGGAAGTAAATGGTAAAATATCTTTTACAATTGATACTTGAACATCATTAAATTCAATACTTTTTCTAGGTATTATTGTCCATTGGATTTTAGATAAATGAAAATTGAAAAATATTTTATTAGATTTTGTTAAACTTGAAGAATCACATTCAGAAAAGAATATTAAAGAATTTTTTCTCAAAAGTTTTAAAGATTTTGAAATTATAACTAAGGTTAGTTTTTATAAATAATTAATTTAAATGATTTTATAAGTAAATTGTAAATTATTACAGAATAATTAAATAAATACTTTTTTATAGATATTTGATATTACAACTGATAATGCCAGTAATAATAATACCTTTTTTGAAGAAGTTTCAAATGAATTTGCAGAAAAAAATATAGAATTTGATAATGTTAATCAACATGTCTATTATTTGACCTATATTATCAATCTTACTACTCAAAAAGCATTTAAATTACTTAAAGCAATTGTGAATATAAATGAAAATGAATTTTTGAACCAATATGAAAATATTCAAAATAATAATAATCAAGTTGGAGTGGTTGGAAGTATTTTATACAAAGTAAATAATTTTTATTTAATTCACTGGTAAAAAAATGATCTATTCTACACTGGTAAAAAAATAATTTATCCTACACATATCTTACACATATTGGGTATTTAAAATGTAGAAAATCATACACAAATAATACACATATCATACACATATCGGGTACTAATATATATATCATACATATATCAGGTACCTGATAGGTATACTATATATATAAGTACCCGATATGTGTATGATATGTGTATTATTTGTGTATGATTTTCTACATTTTGAGTACCCGATATATGTAAGATATGTGTAGGATATGTGTAGGATAGACCATTTTTTTACCAGTGGCTATACATATCTTACACATATTTTATACATACTATCGGGTACTCAAAATATAGAAAATCTTACACAAATAATAACATATTATACACACATCAGATATTTATATATATTATATATCTATCAGATATCTGATATATGTATAATTACTATAATATATATATAAGTACCCAATATGTGTATAATATATGTATTATTTATATAAGATTTTCTACATTTTAAGTACCTGATATATATAAGATATGTGTAGGATAGATTATTTTTTTATTTATCTGATAACTTAATTAATAATATTTAATAATATTTAAATAAATTATAAATATAGCTTTGTATTCTTATTTGTAAAATAAGAGTTTTTTTACAATAAAAAAAAAAAATTTAATGCTCAATGTAAAGTTGCAGATGTTTCTGATAAAATGATCATATTAGATATAAAGACTTAGTGAATTCTACTTTTAAAATGTTGGTTAGAGCAAAAGAATTAAAAAAAGTAAGATTATTTATTATTGTACTCAAATTTTTATTCATTATAATAAAAACAAAAATTAAATTAATTTATTAATTATTAGTTATTACGGTAGCCATTAAATACATTAAATAATAGTAATATAAATCTTTGTCCTTTTATACTTAATGAAAAAGAATGGAAATGCCTTGCAGAAATTGAACTAATATTAAAGGTAAATTATAATTTATAAATTAAAAAACTGAAGGTATTTTAATATAATATTTATTTATAATTTATAACTTATAATTAGGGTTTTTCTAAAGCAACAAAGCAAATATGTATTGAAACTTATTTAATAATAGCTTATGTAATACTATATTATAATATTTTATTAAGTACAGTCAACCCTTGTTATAATGAACCTTAGATTCCAGACCTCAACTTCGCTATAGGACTATAGTGAAGATTTTAAGAGATTTGATTGGTTAATTCGTTATAGCAAGGGAAAATTTATTATAGTTGTCTGAAAAATTCACTATATCAAGGGTTCGCTATATCAAGGTTTGACTGTAGATTAGAAGATTTTCAGGATTTACCTAGATATTGCAAAGAAAAAAAAGTGAGTTTAAACTTTAGATTATATTTGATTTTTAAATTTTTATATTAATTATATTTTTATATATATAAAAAGCAGTAAATAATGCAATTAGAAAACTGCTAGAATATTATAATAAAACCAATACATCTATATATACTATTTTTTTAAGTAAATTGTTAATTGTAAATCATTAAAATATGAATTTAATTTTAAAATTATAATATTTTTATTTTTAATAGTTCTAGATTTATAACTTAAAATTCAATATATAAAAGATTAAAAATGGGATAAGCGATAAATTGAATCAGTAAGGAAAAAAGTATTAATTTAATTTTTTTTTTTTGTATTTTAAATTTTATTTTATTTTTATTATACTTTATTTCAATAGGTGCTTGAAATTTATAAAGAAAAATATGTATCAATAGAAATTAACAACATTAATAATGAATATGATTCATCTAATGAGAATTTTATTACTCATATTTTTAAATAACAATGTGTTGAAAAATTAAATAAATTTAAAATATTTATCAAAGGTAATCATGCATCAGCTCTTAATAATATATTAAATTGGTAAAAGGTAAAAAATATTTTAAATACTATCAATTGTTTATTTAAAATTAAAATAATATTATATTTTAATTTTATTAATATTTAATAGCGACACAAAAAAAGTTTCCAAATCTAGCAAATATAGCAAAGGATTGTTTAGGAATCCCAGGTATATCTTTTTATTTTATTATTATTAAGTATTATTTTTAATATTGATTTTTCTTTATATTTTAGCCACAAGTGTACTTTTGGAAAGGGTATTTTCAAGTGCTGCAGATGTAGTAATATCAGATAGAGTACATTTTACTCCAGAAATAATACGTGCTATTATGTGTTTAAAATATTGGTATCATTTAGGTATTTTAAATTAGTAGTATAAAATCTATAGGAGAATCTTTTTAAAAAAAATTACATATATTAATATGTATTAAAAAATTAAGATTTTATAATAAAATTTACATAGGTTTATTATTAAAGGTGATATATGGTATATATATATAGTTTTTATAGTTTTTGTAATAAAAAAATATAAATAGTAGATTTCAGTAAATCGGCATTAGTAATCAGTAATTACCGGCCAGTTTCAGTTATACAGTTTACTGATATCAAAAATTATCACCAATCAGGTAGTTTGCTAACATTTGATCCAGTGATCAGAAAAGGATGAAATATAGCTCATTGGAATCATCCTAATAAGACGAATCTAATGGTAGTAAAATTACATTTCTAGAATTAATACTTGATAAGAAATTAAATAAAATATAAAAATAAAAGGATTAATTTTACATTCACCTCCAGTAAATTTCACCAGAGTGAATTTTGCCTTGATTTGCAATGCATTAAAATTATTAAAATTTTAAATTTACCCCGGTGAAATTCACCAGGTGATTTCATATTACACAAACGCGTAATGCATATTTTATTTTTTACTTTCTTGTAGTATTATTTTCAAAATGACCAGCTTTTACTGGAACTTCTTAAGGTAAGATTTTTTTATTTTTTTATTACTTCGCTAGTTTAATGTTCTTTTTCTCTTATGCTAACTTGTTAACTTGTTTTTCAAAAAACAATAATTTCAAATAACTTCAAGAAGTTAAGGTAAGACTTACTTTTATTGCTAGTATTTTTATTTTTCTACCATTCCCTTTGCTTCCACTTTGTTTTTAATTATCCTTTTCATTTATCATTGTCCCTTTCACTCCTATATCATTTTTCATCACTCCATATTGCTTCATATTATTTTTCATCACTCCATATCGCTTTTCATCACTCTATATCACTCCATATCGTTCCATATTACTCCATATCATTTTTCATCACTCCATATTGCTCCATATCGTTTTTTATCACTCTATATCGCTTCATATCATTTTCATCACTCCATATCGCTTCATATCATTCCATATCAGTTTTCATCACTCCATATCGCTCCATATCATTTTTCATCACTCCATATCGCTCCATATCGTTTTCATCACTCTATATTGCTTCATATTATTTTTCATCACGCCATATCGCTTTATATCATTCCATATCAGTTTTCATCACTTCATATCGCTCCATATCGTTTTTCATCACTCTATATCGCTTCATATCATTTTTCATCACTTCATATTGTTCCATATCACTTTTCATCACTCCATATCGTTCCATATTATTTTTCATCACTCTATATTGCTCTATATCGTTTTTCATCACTCTATATCATTTCATATTGTTTTTTATCATGCCATATCACTTCATATTGTTCCATATCGGTTTTTATCACTCCATATCGCTTCATATTAGTTTTCATCACTTCATATCGCTTCATATCAGTTTTCATCACTCCATATCACTTCATATTGTTTTTCATCACTCCATATCGCTTCATATCGTTCCATATTGGTTTTTATCACTCCATATTGCTCCATATTGCTTTTCATTACTCCATGTCGCTTCATATCAGTTTTCATTACTCCATATTGCTCCATATCGCTTTTCATCACTCCATATTGCTCCATATCATTTCATATCATTTTTCATCACTCCATATCGCTCCATATTGTTTTTCATCATTCCATATCGTTTCATATCATTTTTCATCATTCCATATCGCTCTATATTGTTTTTCATTACTCTATATTGCTTCATATTGTTTTTCATCACTCCATATTGCTTCATATCATTTCATATCAGTTTTCATCACTCCATATCGCTTTATATCGTTTCATATCAGTTTTCATCACTCCATATTGCTCCATATCATTTTTCATCACTCTATATCGCTTCATATCATTTTCATCACTCCATATCGCTTCATATCATTTCATATCGATTTTCATCACTCCATTTCATTTTGCAATATTCCACTTTATTTTTCATCATCTCAATTCACTTTGTATTGTTTCATTTTGTTTTACATCATCCCATTTCTGTTTTCATCAACCTATTTCACTTTCATTTCATTTTTCATTATTATAAAGGATTATATATTATGCATTACTATAGGTTTTAAATTAATGATTAAATGGTTAGTGGATGGGTGTAATAGTTTAATTGAAGTTATGTTAATTTAAAAAGAAACTTTTTGTCAATAAAACTTTAAAAATTTATGCTTAAATAGTCAATAGAAAAAACTTTTTTTTACATGTTTATTCAAATAAAAAAAATTTGATGCGATGAATTTTACTAAATTTTAATATAATAATAAATATCACGTGATATGATAAAATTTATCCCCGGTGAATTTCACCTCCGGTGAGCGTTAAAATGATCCAAAATAAAAATATATTATTTATATTTTCATTTATTTAATTTTTTATTAACCATTAATCCTAAAAATGTGATTTTACTACCATTAGATTCATCTTGTTGAAACGATTCCAATAAGTTATATTTCATCCTTTTCTGATCACTAGATCAAAAATTAGTAAACTGTCTGATTGGTAATGATATTTGATGAAAATGCCAATCAGTCACGATTGGTGACAGATTGATGACTGATTAATGCCCGATTTTTTACTTTTTGACCTGTGTTATTTGAATCATGCAATAAAGTCTGTTATAAGTAAACTTTTTTTCTCATTAATTAAACTACTTTTTGCAATATATTTAAACTTATGTGCCATAATGAGTTACATGTTTTCTGAAATTTTTATGTAAATCTGATTTATATTGAAATTTATACTTGTGTTTTATCTGAAAAATTATTAAAGTTTAAGCCATTTTCAAATGAAAAGATTTTTATGAATATAATTCCAACTATTCTAAAATTTTAGGATTATATACTTAAAATTATGATGAATAAGTTTACTTAGTACTTAAAAATACATTAAAGTTGGAAAATTTGATGTTTAATTATAGCTCATTTTATTAGCAATCGAGATATGTTAGAAGAACCCTGGAAAACTAATATAAGGCCACTCCAATTTAATAGTTTGTTTAACATCCTAACTTTATATAAAATTGAGGGGGGAAGAGGTCAAATTAAGTAAACATTTAAAAATGAACATAGTTTTTTCTTTATCACTCAATGCATTTTTACTAAAAATACATCTTGGTTTATTACACAGGTCGAAAAGTGAAAAATCAGGCACCAATCGGTGCCTGATTGACATTTTCGCCAAATATCGTCACCAATCAGGCAGTTTGCTAACTTTTGATCCAGTGATTAGAAAAAGATGAAATAT